CTTCTGTTGAGCCGCGGGCCAACCCCGGTAAAGCCCGTCCAACTCGCGTTTTACCTTAGGGGTTATAATAACCCCATTTCCGACTATCTTATACAAGGCTTTGTTCACGGTTTTTCCATACGATATTTAGGTTCTTTAATTGCAATGCGATCCCAAAATCTTAAAAGTGCCAAGGACAATCCGACTAGCGTGACTGAGAAGTTGTCTAAGGAGCTCACAGCAGGCAGAATTGTAGGTCCATTCGACGTACCACCTTTCGACCCCTTTAGGGTATCCCCCCTGGGCATTATTCCCAAAAAGTCTCCGGGCGAATTCAGGTTAATTCACCATCTCTCCTACCCGGCTGGGTCATCGGTTAATGATGGTATCCCTAAAGAGCTAGCCACCGTGAGATATGCAACCATTGATGATGCCATTCGTCTTATTAAATCGTTAGGGAAGGGCTGTTTTCTGGCGAAAACAGACATTAAATCAGCTTTCCGAATTATTCCCGTATCCCCCCACGATTTTCCGTTGCTCGGCATGGAATGGCAGGGAAAGTTCTATTTTGACAAATGCCTTCCCATGGGGTGCTCCTCGTCGTGTAATATATTTGAAACCTTCAGCACTGCGTTAGAATGGATCGCTATGAACAAACTAAACGCGTCGGCGGTCATACACATTTTAGACGACTTTTTATTTATTGCGCCCTCTAACGAAAAATGTCAAGGAGACCTCAATAATTTTCTTACTGTTTGCCAACGTATAGGCATTCCGATCGCCAACGAAAAGACTATGGGGCCTGACAGAGCTTTACAATTTGCAGGCATCACTTTAGATACCGAATTGATGGAGGCTCGCCTTCCTGAGGAAAAACTTGACAAATGCCTATCCCAGTTGAGCTACTTTTGTTCGCGTAAAAGCGTTACTTTAAAAGAGCTGCAGTCATTAATAGGGCTTCTCAATTTTGCCTGCTGTGTTGTGGTGCCCGGACGCGCTTTTCTCCGCCGTTTAATTGACTTGACAAGAGGCGTCCGGAAACCTACCCATCACGTTAGATTAACAAGGGAAAGTAAATATGATCTACAAGTTTGGCTCAATTTTTTGCGATCGTATAACGGCAAATCCTTTTTCCTCGGCTCACGCTGGTACACTTCCAAAACCCTCAAATTATTTACGGACGCGGCGGGTTCCCTTGGTTATGCCGCGATATTTGGAAAGCACTGGTTTTTCGGGGAATGGCCTGCCGTTTGGAAAACATTTAACATCACTATCTTAGAGTTCTTTCCTATTGTCCTGGCAATCGAAATTTGGGGACCGCTTATGCGCAACAAATGTATTGTTTTCTTTTCGGATAACCAAGCAGTGGTTGAAATAATCAATAAGCAAACTTCTAAGGACCGTTCAATCATGGTTCTACTCAGGCACTTTGTTCTTTCCACACTCAAATACAATATTTTGTTTCATGCTAAGCATATCGCTGGTTGCATTAACCGCGAAAGCGATGCTTTATCTCGCCTACAGGTAGAGAAATTCAGATTACTAGCACCTTCCGCAGACCCACAACCGACGCCGGTTCCGGGGGGCCTACTACCCAACAACTGGCACATCACTTGACCGAGCTTCTGCACTCAGCCATTACGAAGGGATCGCGTAGGACTTACGAACGAGCGTGGAAGACATATGTCGAGTTTTCCTCTGAATTTTGCGATTCTCGCCGCTCGTTGCTTCCAGTCTCCGTCAACAATTTAGCGTTGTTTATATCTTATCTTTCAGCGAAGAAGTTTGCATCCTCCACAATCTCGACATACGTCTCCGCGTTAAGTTACGTCCACAAACTTGGTAATTTCCCGGATCCCACCAAAAATTTTTTAGTGCAGAAGCTTTTAACGGCTCACAGTAAGCTTCACTCCTCACCGGATGTTCGGCTTCCCATCACACGCAGCGTGTTGCAGCACTTAGTGCTCGCCTTAAATCACACCAATTCATCGGCATTTCAAAGATTGTTATATCAAACCATGTTTTTAGTAGCCTTCTACGGCTTTTTTCGTGTGGGTGAACTCACGGTCAAGGGCGCGAATTTGAAATCCCTAGTACACGTGCAAGACCTCCATTTTCAATTTTCGAACAATGTCGTGACCTCGGCGACCATTGTCATAAAAGACTTTAAACACAACAACACCAGGCGCCCCTTTTCAGTGTTTTTGGAACGCGCTGAGGGATCTACGCTTTGCCCAGTGGCTTATTTACAACGCTATTTCTCTACAAGGGGTGCAACCCCGGGTCCCTTGTTTTGCTTTGCTGACGGATCTCCAGTTAAAACTAGCCAGTTTACGCAGCAGCTGCAACAAGCCTTGAATTTTTGTGGCCTTGATTCAACTAAATACAAATCTCACTCTTTCCGGATCGGCGCCGCCTCTCTAGCAGCTGAAAAAGGCTTATCGGATGCTCAAATTCGTCACCTTGGCCGTTGGAAATCCGACGCATTTAAACTATACATTCGTCAACCTACAGGAGTATCTAAGGATTAAGCTCGCCTTTCAGTCATGGGCTGGGGCAACGCATATTTCTAGATTTTGCCTATTTTTTATTTATTTATTTTTTATTTTATTTTAATTTTTAGTTTGTCTTAGTGACTCTGACACAGCTCAGACATGGGCTGGTTGTGTCTTACTGCACGTAAGCTCGCCTTACAGTCAGGGGCTGGGGCAGCAATGACTTATAGATTAATCATGTTTATTTCCGGTTTTTTCTGTTACATTCCAACTTTGACATATTATTATAACTAGCTTGGGGGCTTCGAAGCTCGCCTGTCAGACTTGGGCTGGGGCGGCAATTCTCCCATTTCAAACAGAGCAGTTGTTCAGGTACCTCTTATTTTAACTCGTAAGGTCTCCAGGAACATGTCAGAAATCGGCCTGGTGTTCTCCTTTTTTGCCTTTTCGTGTTGGGATCTTGTCTTGCGTGCGTGCCCGCGGCTTTGGTTGGGGCTCGCCACAGAATGTGGCTTGTGGCTAATTTTCGCCCCAACTTAATTCACTGAATCAAATAACTGTCATGTTACACTAAGCGATGATTCTCGGTTAACGTGACACTTAAGCACTTGTAATCGGTTTGTAATAAACGCCACTTGAGTGGCCAAATTATTCCAAATACGTGTCTCCTTCATTCAGTGAATCCTGGCTGCGTGCACGAACGCAATTATAAATATTTCAGTCTATTGTCTATATAGTTGGTATAACTGAGCCGCTCTCGGCATAAAATTGTATTTACAGATTTTCAACATACAAAATTATATCCTTTTCAAAATCTCAGCCTTGGGTTTATTCTTATCATATTCTTAAAATTTGGCAAATTTCACCTCTATATTCTTATAGGATATCTTCTTATAAAGAGTGAATGAGCACACGTTACGATCCCGATAGGTTAGCTAGTATATATCAGTTTTAATCCTTTTTTATCTGAAACCTATAAAAAATTTAGCCTTTGTAGCAAACATGATCCTGATGCTTACCGGAGTTAGCTGACGTACTGCGATATTATATCGAAGAAAGCTTAAATGAAATGTTGCGCTAGACCAATAATTAAATTAGAAGTCGATAATTGTTTATCGCTTCTACATTTTAATATTCATAGCTTTCATCGAAATTGCATAGCTTACTGTGCTTTTCACAAACATGCGAACTCTAAGGGTGCGTTCGATTGGGAAATTTGGATTTAGATTTTAAAATCCAGATTTCGGATTTGCAATCGAACGCGAAATCTGAAAACGGATTTCAACGCTGAGACATTAAATTTTTGGTTTTGTATTTTCCTTTTTACCGTTCGATTGGGAAATCAGAAAAAAAGATTTGAAAAACTGTCCTTAGGAACAGCGGTCTTGCATGCGCACGCATAATAAGTAAAAAGAAGACCGCTGTTTACGAGAATAACTTTCAAATCCTTTTTTAGATTTTCCAATCGAATAGTGAAAGGGAAATCCATGAAATCCGAATTTAGATTTCTTAATTGAAATCCACCCTGAGGACGGATTTCTAGGAAGTCAAATCCGTTTTCGGATTTCGCGTTCGATTGCAAAATCCGTCATCGTCAGTTGCCTTTTGAACATCAAAATTCCCAAGTTGGTGCAAAGCGCAGTAACTACTTTGCTAAAGAATCTAGAGTTGAGGTTCTCTTTTCTTGGTATAACGGAGACCTGGCTTCGAGAGTCATCGCATCATACCGATATTTAGCAATTAATGAATGAGGCTGAGTAGGATATGAAGAATTAAGCAGATCGAGGAGGGGAATTCATTAATTGCTTTATTATTCATTGAAAATAATTCTTAGTTTAAAAACATAACTAACACATGCTTACCTGTATTGATGTTAAGTTCATCTTTGATAGTGTACCTTTAGGTTTTTCCAGCTTCTCAAATATTCTCCAAATAGCAGATGTCGCCCTCCGAGTTGTCTTTTTGCTGTTTTTGCTATATGTCCTCCATTTTTATTTTCACAACCAAAACAACTCATTTCCTCGTTAAAGTCAAAACTCTTCCAAGCTAGCTACAACCTTATAACCACTTTACGACGACTACTTACTAATGACAAGGACAAAAACAAACCGCAGGACAGACAGGGAGCAGTATACAGGATCAAATACTTCGGCTGCCAGCTACTTCAATTTGATAAAATTTATCAAGCGTTTGCATAGAGGTGAAAGAAAATCAGAATGGCATCTTTGTTTTACAGTTATTGTTTTTCTTGCCTTCTCAAAGGTGTATAAGAAATCAGCTATTCCACTAATAGAGTAAATCGAAATCAATGTTTTTCGTGAAATGACTGTCCTTTCGAAACTCCCGTGACACTTACTTGGACAACTGAGTATGTATTCGGGGCATGAAGATTGCTGTATCTTAATAATTTTACTTTTGAGTAGTCAGTCAGCAGACATTCCGTATGTTCATTCTCCATGACATGACGCAAACAAGTGTATGGTTGAATGATCGACACATCTTCTGTTTTTATAAAGCCAAAAGGAAATGGCGGCTGAGATGCGAAAGCTTTCTGCCGGTCTGTTTTTCGTAGCCTGTGCCATCTTTGTGCCCCAGGAGAGCGATGGAATTTTGTTAGATCCAACCTTAATTGGGAGAGAGTTGCAGTTGTTTGCTAATGATGCTCTTGGAGTGGATGACCTTCAAGTAAGACTGCTTCATGTTTGCTAATTTCAGCTTTTACTGATCTTTAACTAACAACCGAAATATTCAATGATCAGTCTTCTGTCAGGTGTATTACACACCATGACGTTAAGCTCAGTTCGATAATTTGACAAAGTTAATTACTCGTGTAAATCTGAACTGCAGACTGTGCGTGGGAAGTTCATTGGGCATCCATTTTGCGACATGCGAACATGAAAGCTAGAGATTAATTCCGCTTTGTGGTTTTAGATTTTAGTGTACAAAACAAATCGACACGGCACACCACCTTTATAGAGACTTAAACATCAGACTAAACGTCGCTTGGAAAGTGAATTCGCGTTCTTTTAATCTCCTTCGCGAATATTTCAACTTACTTATTAATAAAACGTTTTTCAAGTGCAGGCGAAATCTCCTAGATCCTGTGTCCAAGTTCACAAAGAGAAATTTCTTCGTAGCCTTTTAACTCCCCTATCAAAGTGAAATTAGTCGTTTTTACAGGAATGTAAAAGAAAAGAGTGCTGTACATGCTGAGTTGTTGTTTTACCTACTGCATGCTTTAATTTCTTGAACCGTCCTTGTTGTCGTCGCTGTTGTTGGATTTTAAGATCCCTTCTTACTGAAAACGGCGACAGCACTGATAAACGATGTCGGCGAATATATTACAGTCAAACCTCTTTAATACGGACACCAAAGAGACAGAACCAAGTGTCCGCTTTACAGAGGTGTCCGTATTATAGAGGTAGGGAATGTATGATTTTTAGCATTTCTGGGACCAAACGAACTGTCCGTAATAGAGAGGTGTCCGTATTACAGAGGTGTCCGTAAGGAGAGGTTAGACTGTACATCATGTAGTCATATGTAATCTCATATACACAACGGTCTACCTTAAAAAACGTATTGGGCTTTCTTCTAGCTGGTAAGGACCAATATCTGTTGGCGGAATTCCTGAATTTATGTGATCTTTAATTTTTTTAATGCCTGACTGAAACCATGATATCAGTGTCGGATCTACTAACTTAAAGTTTAACATGTTTCCTTTTTTTAATATATTGAAGGATATTAGTAAGTGATCCAGTCAGAACTGAACTAAAATGTGCAGGAAATCAGAGCAAAAGTATTGGAATTACAGCGTTAACGGTGCTCGTTAACGGTGTTGGTAATCGGATTCGAAAATATTTGTAGTTTAATTCACATTAAATTTAGACTGACTAAACCCTTAATGAGTAAAAATAACTCGAAGTATTTTGTATACTTATTTCCTATTTTTTTTTTTATGGTTCGCTCAAAGGGACACTGGTCATCGTCATCCGTGTACGACCATGTATGGTCATATTAAAAACGATACGGTGAATGACCGCGTCATAAAGCTTCTAGAGGAGTAAGTTCACAGTTGGAGTAAGCCAAAAGACAAACAGCTAGCGTATTTTCTCTTGATTAAGCTAAAAACTGAGAGCTGATTCTTCTCGCAAAGGACAAAATTGCGACCTAAGATCATACGGCTATATTAAGTTGACTGTAAAAACCACGGATTAAAAACGACGGTTTGACCGATCTTCGGTGCTTTTCAAGTAAGTAAAAAAGATAAAAGAATTAGCATATATATGTGTAAGGTGTAAAAATATTTTAACTAGAACTATAAAAAATGTTTGAAAATGATTTAAGAATGAAATAACTCATGCAGAAAAAGAGCACCAATAGGATCTAATTAAAGTGCTGTTTAAAAACTTTTGTCTCAGTATATTAATAAAAAACTTATCAAACAATAGGCAATCGAATTTGCTTTTACAGTTCCTTAAAATGCTAAAATTATTACTAAGATCTTTAGGTGCTGAAGAATGTTTAACACGGAAGTGCTGGCCGATGGATGAAGTTGCTCTTTTGAGTTCGTCAATTCGCTGGCGTAAGTGGGGCACAGGTCACATTCAAATTTGTAAACAAGGCATTGCTGGTTGACAAGAGGTGGCTTAGCTTCTCGCAAACACTGGAGACACGGTCGTGTGAATTTTGTGACTCAAATCCTGAAGCTGACGTCGAACAATGTCAGCCGAGGACTGGTCTTTAAATGGTAAAATAACACTAACAGGGTCAGGTGAATCAAAAACAGCCGCGAGCGATGAAACAGGTTATAGTAAGTTCGCAGCAAAAATGAGCGAAGATGGACTAATTAGATAAATGTTTCACTGAAATTTGGGAAAACGTCTTCTAGTCAACTGTATTCGCCTTATTTTGTCGTTTTTGTATGCCGGCTCTTAGCAACGGCTTTAGAATACGGCCTTTTAATCGTGTCCATGTGTTTTCAGAAACCGTCAATTAAGCAAAACAGGTCATTTGACTTAACAAATATACTAATAACTGATAAGGCATGAAATGAATTCCGCCTTAAAAGGCGGAAACATGTTAAGAACGATCTGAAGGCCATTTTGACATCCAAAAGCTTGGAATTTTTAATGTGCAAATGTCCCCCGTTTGAATAGCCTGCAGTGCAGTCGTATTTTGGGCGGACGAAAACTTGCTTATGTTCGTATTGTTGTAGCCGCTATCTTTGATTTCGTGACAAAGAAAAAAATTGGGGAGAGTAGAAATAGCAGCCCTTAGGGTAGGTGCCAGGGCGAAAGAAGGAAAGGAGGAAAGGGGGAAAGGGGAGGCGAGAAAATAGAATGCTGAATACTGCAAATAGAATACATTACTGCATGGAATCTTGAACTAACGGCAATCCAACTTCTTTACAAATTTCGGCTTACACATCCCCGAAGCGCTTCTTTCGGTTTGATGGCCTGAAGAGATTTTCTGAAGAAGAATGGCCTTGCAAGGAATGAAACTAAATACAACGTGATTCGTTCAATGTGGACCACAGCTTACCGGTGAAGGAGGAAATCATCACACTTTTCTTTAGAAAATTACCACACTTTTTCTTCTCGGGACTTCGTGCCTCGCTCGGAGAGGTTCGCTTTCCAAGTGCATTGGATAATTTTCTACCAGGTCTGCAACACGATCGCATGACAGTCTGATAGGTCAAGTTGATATTCGATTCTACGGTAAACAAGACGCTAAGGAGCGTAAACTTTGGGGTCGTGGCTGTGGATTAATAGTGAATGTTGAGGAATGGTAGGAAATGATATTTTTCCCGATACCCTTCCAAGCAAATACCCTTATTTTTCTGCTTTTCTTTTACAGACGTCTTAACTTCGCGATCTTCAACGGACGTCTGCTAGGTGGATGATCCCGTGGCTGTAATCCAATTCAATCATAATTTCTGTCATAAATAAATTGCGCACGACGAGATCTCATGAGTTCCGCTTCCTTTATTTGCTCGACAACAACACTTTCCTTATGTACAGTTAACTCCACACCTTCTCCAGCAACGTAACTCTCATCAATAAACTCCTTACAAAACTTGCTGAAAATGCACAATCTCCGCTTCATAGCGTGGATAATTCATGTACAAGATCGCGACATAAATTATTACATGGAAAACAATAACACACAATACAAAAAACAAGTATAAAACACCTACTCTTACAAACAAAACGACAAGAAGAACAATGATAATGATGCCTATTCACAACGGTTATACGGTCGTGACAGCGTTTTGCTTCCCCTTGTTGACAATCTATATATCGCTTTCCGAAACGCTTCGTCCAGACGCAACGCAAACGACCGCACCTCTTTCTCTTTCGAATTACCCTTGCTGCAATCCTCTCCAGTTGTCGAAATCTCTTCACTCTTAAACTTTATACACATTTCTTTAGCCAAACTTTTCTCCATGTAACTTGTGTAATCTTCACTTTCCAAAAACTGATTTCGTCTATTTGAGCATAATTGTCTTTGACTGTCTCAATAATTTCCTTTCATTAAGGTGTTTTTCAGAGGCTATACCAATATTTTTCAATCGCTTTAAAAGTGATTTTATCCATGTCTGATCGATCTAACGGGGCAAAGATAAGTAACTACAAACCAAACGGCGAGCAAAAAGTAATATTTTTTTCTTCCTCAGATAAACTAACAACTAGAATTGATCTCGCGATATTTCCAACTCATTCCGGTGTCAATACGTCAAATACCCAAAACAAGCCGAAAAGTAACCGACTTGGGTGGCGAATCTTTAATCGTACCTCGTGCATAACTTATGGGTATTTTTTCAGGTTTCAAATTACCTTGCGTCGCAGTGGCGCAATCGGCTAATCCCTCAATTTCGGGACATTCGGAAGCAACTTTGGTACCTCCGGATACAACTTTGAAACATTCCTGAGCTGCACGAATCCTTTACTTCGCGCTCCGCCGAAGTAACATTAGGGACCTTAAGATCCAGAAAGGGAGCAAGGACGACGGCCGACCGGAAGTTGTTTTCCCATAAGAAGCATGCGCATTAGAGATCTGGTTTGTTTTCATGGTTGCGTGACCCCGTCGTGACTCCGTCGAGGACGGCAAAAACACCAGTTTGACGTTGTGCCCTCTGTGTACTTCAATTTCTTTGGTTTTCTCAGAGATTTAGTCCTGTAAACTCGTCATGAGCTCTGCTCAGTTTGTCTCGACCCCTTCCCCGTCATGTTCAAAGGAAACAAGCAACAAAAAGCCAGCGTAAGCAAATATTTTTGTTGGCTCGTTTTATGTTTGTTGTTGGCTTCTGTCGTGCAGATGTTGCAGGTGTGATTTGTCTTTTCCTGTCATTTTTCTGCTTTCAATCAGTGTTTAATGCTTATATAAATACCACTTTCAGAGTCATTCTTTTTTATTGAGTTTCTACTTGCGACTGTCGTACGGAGTTTATATTTTTCGTGTATTCCGCGTGAAAGAGAAAAACAACTCCAAGCGACAAACTTCCCAAGAGTGTTTTTCCTCCCTTTATAAAAATAAGACTACTTCTGTTGTGTTTCTGTGGAGTTTTGACTTGAATTGCTGAATAGCTGTCTCAACCCGGCTTTTGTCAAACCTTTCAATTTCCTCTCCAGTGGCGTGCGTTTATCAAAACTCCGGAAAACATTTCGGGACCGAAATTTTTCTTGTCGGTTTTCTATTGAACAACTGCACTTACTAGTGCCAATATTTTTGTATTAAATATTTTCTTGTATACAACCAACCTCTTCGGCATTTTTTCGTAGCTCGATAGCTCTTTGTCTCTTCCCTTTTCACAACAAAGTTTTAAAATAGGTCTCACTGTTCCTCACACTTGAATATGCTAAAATTACACATCATGCATGTGTTTTTTAACTTCCTACACAGTTCACTTATTATATTTATTTCTTAGCATTATATTTGTTTCTTACTACCAGTGGGGCTTACCTTTCATCGTAAGGCGTTTCTTTGTTGTCCTCTATTAATATGATAGAGTTTTTGTAGATTGTGTGTTGTTTCTTTCACTACTGTCATTGATAGTTTATTTACTATGCCACATTTCGTATGACAGGATGTTCTGGACAGAGGAACATGATGTCATTTTAGTCAGAGAAATGCTAGCGAACAGCCCCTTTGCTGGCACAAAACGTGGGACAGTTCAAAGAGGTCGGAAGTGGAACGAAATCTCTGAGCGCCTTTTGCAAGTAGAAGCCCCCAAATTTAAGGTTGACCAGAGAGGTGTTAGAGAAAGGTATGGTCTACTTGCCAAAGCATACAGGAGGAAAATTAGAGAGGAGGAAAGAGCAAGTGGGATTAGCACCCCAGAATTGACAGAGGTAGAGCAAGCCCTGGAAGACCTCATTGTGAGAGAAGATGAGGCTGATCGAGACCAACAGGAGACAGCAGCACAAAAGAGGAAGGTAAAGGAAGATAAGAAAGATGCTGAGGAAGTGAGAAAGAGGGCAATGGAGAGGCTGGGAGACAGAATGAAAAGAAGTGAGATTGAAGGAAAGGGGAAGAAAAGAAGATCAAGTGGAAACAACACCCTGGAGTATCTAAAGGAGAGGAATGAAATGTTGGATGAATTTAAAAAAGAGGAGCTGGAGCTGAAAAAGCAGGAGTTGCAGCAAGAAGCCAAGAAGAATGAAGCTATGATGAAGTTGATGAGCCAGCAGCTGGCACAGCAACAGAAGCAAATTGATGGATTCCAGACCATGATGATAACCATGTTTTCTAAATTTTTGGAGAAGTGAACAAGAACTGCTTGAGCAGATTTCATATGAGTGTGCAAGTGCATGATAATGATATTGAACCTTGCCTTCTTGTTGTTCTATTGATACTTACAGTGTATTTTAAATTTTTTGAGTGTCAACCATTTTCTCAAATATTGTATTTCAAAAAGAGCATTTAGAATTGCTATACTTGAAAACATGTTGAAAAAAGTGTTACACTTGTTCTAACAAAAACAACAGCATAGCATATTACACTGTATATACTTTTTTATCTTGGATTGTAGTAAATAAATGATTACTTCATTTTCATAGGTTTGTTCTTCAGTTTTAGCATATAGCATAATATTGGGGGTGGGGGAAAAAGACCTTGTTTTCCATACGAATCACTGCTTACATTTAGAAATTCCAGAGGGGTGGGGGTGACATTGCACCCCCTTCCATGGACAGAGTATGGATATTATTTTTTTGGTGTCAAAATCCTAGACACAAAAGGCATTTTGGAAATCTGTGAAGCACTGCTCATCATACTAAGAAAGAAATTGATGCAGACTTAACAGTATCTGGGCGACAGCTGCCATTAAAAGTTTTGTCAAGAACCCTTGGTTCCCTGTAATATTTCTTATGTGTATAATTCCTTGTGGAGATTTTCTGTTAAAACAAGCCTACAAACCAAAAACATTCAGCTATGCCCTCAAGTATGAATGACACTTAAGCAAAGTAATCTTCCAGAGATGGAGGGTCTAACTGGAAAAACTCAGAGGTTGTGTTACCATAAAGGCAAGTAAGTGCATTCCTAAGTAAGGCACAGACAATGTACATTTTCCCAATGGGGCTTAAATCCAGCTTCAAGTCTTTCTTAAAATCTAAAAATTTAAAATAGTTAATGATGTCCCCAAAAATCCACTCGACTGAGGAACGAACTTTACTCATGGACTCATTGAAACTTTGCATCTGATGTGTCAGTACTCCATACTGAAATGGTCTTTGCAGATGAACACGGTGGGGATATGCTGGATCACCATAAATACACATTGCCTGGCCAGTTGGTGAAAATGCATGCCTCTCGAGCTCATTCAACAGACCAGACTCATCCAGCATTGATGCATCATGTTTTCTCCCTTCTGTAAAAGAGATATAGTGGAGTTTTGAAATATTGTTGATGTTGAGCTTACAATCTTGAAATTTAATACTTCCTTCAAACCAGTTACAGTAATACTATGTAAAGCCAAAACCCTTGTGACCTTGATAGATATGTGTGCTTATTTGAGGCTCAACTCAT